TACTACATTTGGATTAGTTTTTAAGGCAATTGGTGGTTGGTCTCCTAATGTTAGGCATTATTGTAACTCTGGAAATGGGAGCATTTTCTTCCAAATCCCCAACTAATGGAACCCACTGAGTTCCAAATCACTAGTTGGGTAGTTTACACTTAATAATTCTGGCCCTATTGATATCTACCACCTGAAATGGCCAGTGCATCTAGAAGTAAATTCTAAATTATGTCCTTTTAAGAAGTTCCTGTTCAAAATTCCACCCAGAATTCCATCATGTTGACATTCCAACTTGGTTATTTCCAAGGCAAAATGACATTCAGTATGAAACTTAAAAAAAAAAAAATCAAATAAGCCACTTTCATTTAGAAAAATTCCATCAGAACTGAGAGTTCATTTTTCTTTATTTTTCAAGGTATTTGTTTTGTTGTCAGGATCAAGAACACTGAGCTAGCTTTGAGCAACAAACTGATTTATATATATGCAATTATAGGAAGCATTAAGACAAATAATAGACATTACATATGAAAACATATTTGCAGATATTTTGCTTTTAAAATAGCTTTGCATATTTACCTAAATGCTAATTAATTTTATAAAACTGATTATTTTAAACAGTATGTTCAGACACTTTCTGCCATGGCCAAAAAGTATGTATGAAGTAAGTGTATGTGTGTGTGCTTGTGTGTGTGAGTGTGAGATTGAGAGAGAGGGAGAATACCAATGTTTTACCCAATGTTGTAGTGACACTTCAGTTATCTATGCATTCTTTCTATCTAGTGATTCTGTAAGCAGGCAGCCATGTGCACTATGCCTTGTATGTCTTGTGTCATTTTTGAATTAACCTGTTAAATACAGCTTAAAATATTTTTATTTTATTTATTCTATTTTTACTGAAATATACTGCATTATTATGTTAATGTATTATCTTTACTGGACATTATTTCACAATGTATCCAGTTCTAAGTAATCTCCGTGTATTATAGGTTACCTAAAAGGTGGTTTTGTAATGATTTGTAGTCATATTTTTATTGGAGTATGTAGAAGAAATGGCAAAATGTGTAAAGTTCATTTCTTTTATTTTTTAAAAAGCAATTAGAAAGATAGATGCAGACATACCACCTCATAATACGCTCCTTGAGAACAAGGAAAATGTAGCCAACACCGTCTATAGCTTAAGCTTTTACTTTGCAGACTGAAACACTAAGTTGTACTTTTTTAGTATCCTTTAAAATACTTGCTGTTTCATTTACAATTGTATACATGCTCCTTTTTTCCCCACCTCAGTATAAGACCATCTACAACTAATTAGAATACTATTTTAAAATGCATGATGGGTTATTAATCCCACTTCCATTAAAATGAGGTTTTAGATGATAAACTGTGGGCACAGCAACCTAGAGCTCAAAAAAATAAATAAAACACCTCTCTTTTGAAAATGGAAAGTTGTAAGATTATCCTGCCCTAATTTGTGACAAGTCCTAATTCTTTCTTCCTTTTCCTGTGTAGCAAACAAAATGTTTCTTATGCCCTTTTAGAAGAGCTTTATTTCCAAAGCTGATATTAGTTCAGCTTTAATATTAAAAACATTATTAGCTCTGTGTTCAACAAGCTTAGTTATCTTAATATATGGCTCACACATGTGCTTTACAGTCCGTAAAAGGAAGTTGGAGTTTCGGGGAATGACACTTGCTCACAGTTTATCATGTTAAAGAGCTCACTTCCAATCAAAGCAGCTTATTCCAGAAAGAAACTTTTGCTTTCTTTTATTTTTTTCCTTTTGCTGTTGACCACTTTTACACATTTAAATGTAATTTGTTGTGAGAATAAACTTAGCTGCATAAAATGTTTGACTCATTTATCTGAAATAACTTAAAGTCATATTTGGGGGGATAGAAACTTAAACACATTTAGTCTGTGTTGGCTATTTTATTTCAAAATCTTCTCCAAAATTGAACTGCTTTTGAAACATCAATTTAATAATCTAAGATGTCTGCCATTGCCTTTTTTCATATTTAATTATAGATGAAGCTTTCATTAAATTTCTTGTACTTCTCCCAGATAAAACTGATGTGTTAATGCCATATTATTTAAATTCTGAATAAAATGCCAGTGTGGTATACATTTAGCAGCCAAAAGGAACAGACATTGTTTGGGCAGAGAACCAAAAGTAACTCTTCCATTAAAATTCTACAAAGAGTAGTCCTCACTTCCTCCTTCAGTCTACCTATAATAAAAACTTTATTGCAACCACTATCTGCAGGAAATCTGGTCATCTTTTAATTGCCAAAGACCAATAGCTTTTATCTAAGTTCTTATTTTCTTTGAGCCATTCTGTAGCTCATGAAACTCTTGAACATGACATATTTTCTTATTCTTTCCTATCTCAGCTTCAATGGCAATACTTTTCTGATCCTCTAGCTTTATCTTCTCAGTCTTTGCTGGTTCATCTTTTTCTTTCCAGCCTGAAATGTAAGTATCCCACAAAGGTTTTGTCCTTGGGGCTCTTGTCCCATTTATATGCTTTCTCCCTTGGCAATTTTATCTTCATATTCAATTATCACCTTTCGATAGATGACTACCAAATCTAGCTAACCAATCCTGGTTTCTCTGTTGAGTTCAAGTTCTGTATTTTCAGCTAATTGCTGAACATCTCTATTTTTGCTAATGTCTGTAGTCTTCTCTCAGACTTAAAGCCGTCATCTCTGATTCTTACCTCTTCCTCAGTCCCTGTATTTTACTTCCACAGTAACTCTCACATCTGACCTCTTCTTTTCACCTAAACTGCCACCCTTTTTCCTAAATTAATTTAATAATAGCCTCATAACTGGCCTAGTCTTTCTCATCTTTGATCCATCCTTCACATAGTTGCCAAAATAATCTGTTTGATGCCCAAGTCTGATCATGTCACAACCCTGCTCAAAAAACCTCTAGTGGTTTCCTATTACCTATCTGGTAAAATACAAATTGGAAGTCTAGCTATTTTCTGAACTCTTCTTGTCCTCTCCCACTTGGCACGTTCCCATAGGCCGTCTGTCCTCCATGTCTGAAATACATCCCTCCAAGTCTCCATCTGCTGAAATTTTCATCTTGGTATTTCTAGCTTCTAGCATAGGGCCATGCAGTTGGTAGGGGCTAAATAAAAAGTTTATTAAAAAAAAAAAAACACTGTTGAACTGGTCTCTCTAAAGAAGGCTTAGTTAACATAGTCTGGTTGAAAATGGGAAGGAAGTATTATCTTTCACTTACCATGAGAACCTGAGATCCAGAGCTACTAGTCTTTTCTGAGCATGAAAATCAAACGTAATTTTTAGGAAAAAAAAAACCTTAGGTTTCTCACTTGGGTAATTGTGATATCATCACAATGTAACAAAGAACTAAGAGACTAAGATAATCAACAAAAGAATCAATTTGGCTTCCTCATGCCTTTTCATACTTCTGAATCTTTCTAAGCCACAAATACTCATTTCACAAAATGTCCTCTGAAAACCTTCTGATTGCTAGTGCAGCATATCATTTCAAGTTTGGCCTTAAAATTCAACTTTTTTCTCAAGGAAATTCAAGGAAAAAATGTTATTTCACTTCCCAGAAGAAATAACTGGCCAAGTGTGACCAACGTTCTGTCATTAAAGTGTTTTCATGTTTAACCTTTTTAAAAAAAGTCTTGGTTCAGTGACTGCCACAGATAATCTGCTGTAACACCAAATCCACATTACAGACCCGCTCAATCAAAACTCTTTTACCTGAGAGTTGATAGAGGTACTCTAGACATTTCTGTCACCCTCACATTGAATAAGGCAGCACCTGAGGTTGAACAGCTTACGTCTCATAGAGGACCAACGGACCTCACCTAGATTGATTGAAGATAGTACTGCATTGATATCTTCATAATCTGAGCTGATAAAAAACTAGGGTATGCAGCCCATTTCCAGACCAGCAAGACTCAATGTCTAAGCCCCTGGCTTAGCCTCCAGGTAGGATATGCTTCCAAGTGGTATTTTCTTTTCTTTCACTATGAAAAAGTTTATAAATGTTTGATCATTAAAGCCCTATCATGTTCTTAGTAAAAGTTTACATTAAAAAGAAGCTTGTAGGCTTAATGGGACAACTGTGTAATTCAGAATGTTTATATAATGCTAAATGTAAAAAGAAAAGTTTGAAATAATTTAGTGCAATGATTTATACTTATTTAAAATGCTAAAACAAAAAAAGGTAAAAGTTCTAACAGAACTACAAAAACTAGATGCAACAGAGGTTGGAAAAAGTACCCTAAATTGCTTCATAATGTTGGAAGAAATCTATTTTTTCCATCAGAGTAAGCAGACATAAAGCCTTAGAACTACTTCTAGTGGAAAATGGAATACTGGAGCCATGGGAAATAATGGACTTTTTTGCTACCAAGATGAAATATATGATTTTTTAACTAAAACAGGTTCATGGAAGCATTGAGAATTCTAAACCAGTTATAGATTAAAAAGGAGGATGAATACATATGGTAATTAGATAAACTGTGGTATTTGTGGTTCATTATTCATACATCCATGATGTTAGATAGAATACTACTGTATTCCTTGACATTTAAAAAAAAAATCATAATTCATACATAGCTCTTCCTTGGAAGATTCCAAGTAATACTGTTTTCCTGTGTAAAAAAATAGGAGCCCTTTTATTCCTTTTTTTTCATTTACATTTAACCTAAGAAACAATGTAAACCTCCAACTAAAATAGAAAACAATTTATTTATTAAAATGAAAATCAAAATTTCTTTTTTTCCAAATATATAGCTAAGATTTCATTTTTAACACATTAACAAGCTACTACAATTATACCATCTAAGGTATTTTAAAATTCTATAGTCTATAGCCACCTGAATTACATATTTAGAAATGAGTAATTTATACATTTCAACACTACCGAACTTTGGGTATAAAACATCATTTAAATTCAGACTTTATGAAACTGTTTATGAACAGTGTAAAAAAAAGACAATAAAGTTGTAACTTGTTCTACTTACTGTCAAACAATTTCTGTTGCCATGATGAGAAAAGTCAGTAGACCCAGAAATGACAATCAAACTAATTCTTTGCAGGTGGTTGATAATACTTGGAAGATGAATTGGCATTTAATATAATTAACAAAATGCTATAATATATTTTAGCAGATTGTGCAACAGAAATGATTTGCCAAAGTTTGATTACTGTTTTCAATTTGAAATGACTTACAGCTTTTCACATTTCACCTGATCTTTCAGTAGAATTAGAAATCTTTAGGGGTTTCTTCAACCAGCGGTGCTACTTGGATCCAACAATTTTATATCTTCTTAGAATTGATAATATTCAGGAGTAAACTTACTTTCAGTCATTATTTTTAAAAGCATCTGATCTAAGTGGTCAAAGACAGCTGTGCCATTTTACCCTGCTCAGGACCCTGGAAAGTTCACCATATGAGAGGTAATTTTCACTGTGTAAAAGAACATCTGTTCTATACAGCTCATTGGAACCTCCTATTTTTCTTGCTTGTAGTCAGTCTCAATATCAGTACAAAGCAGACTCCCTAATGTTCGAGTATTAAAAGTTCAGCTTAAAGGCTGAAATTAATATGCTGTCTTATAAAGTTACAAGATGCATGCTGAGATAAGAAGCTAAACTTCATCTGAGAGGGGCAACATCTTTTCTGTAACTATACTCCTATAACTGTCTTAAAACTTAAGTTCTTAAATCTGATGGGTAAGATAAAAAATAATTATGTTCAGGTAAGACACTACACTTCAAGTTTCTTTTAAAACTGATGTCCTATTGACCAAGTTACAGAAGTAATAAAAGTCTAACAACTGATCATGAATCTAGAACTGTTGCTTTCCAAATAGATAAAGCACCAAGCTATCCAGTTTGGTGAACTCTGCTTAATTTCCTGGGCTACATTATTGTCACTTATCTTAATGCTCTGAATGTAGTGTCCCATTTAGATTCACAGTAGAAGCTCGATGACCTAAAGGATGAATATCTACACTAGGATATTTAACCTTTAGAGAAAGGTCAAACTTGGTAGAAAAATACTCTGCCCTTTGACCCCAGGAAAATAACAGGTGATGATCAAAGCCATGGTTGAGGATGCCTCACTGCAGAGGAAGGTAAGTTTTCTTTGGGTTTTTCCAATTTTTTGGATGATGAAGGCGCAATTGAGCCACCAGCCTTGCCTCCAATCCAACGGTAAAAGTAATGCGCTGGAATCTGGGTTTTGTTGGCTTGGGAACCATTGTATGACATCATTACGGGAGGCAAAACGATCTCTACAGGTTTCAGTGCAATCATTTTATCCTCAGGGCGTGGCCTTATAGTGCTCATCTGTCTCTCTGATGCCTTGGACGTGGAAGGCATGTTCTTCATAACTGCATTTGGGGGTGTCTTGCCAGTTTTTTTCTGTGGAGGAATACTTGTTGTTTGATTTGTATTTTTCTGTGGAGGACTTGCTTTGGTTGTTAATGTCTCTGAAGGATTAACACGTGGTCTCAATTCTCGGTTCAGGAACTCTGCAATTTTTATTTGTGAACTCATGCTCTCATTAATAGAAGTTTTTACCAGTGATGTTTTGGATTTCTTTTTCTTCTTTTCCTTTTTTGATGTTTTGGCTAACTCAATACCATCTAGCAATCCCTTTGCTGCAGCACGTGCCAAAACGTCTTTGACAGACACTGTCTCTGATGGGTCCCGCTGAAATTTTTAAAAAAGTGTTCTATTAAATGATGCGCCTCTAATATTTTAAATGTATCATTTCAGCAGCAATTTTTAAAAATCTGTGTCTTTATTATACCATACGGTCAAGAGTAGCAGATAAGTGGTAATTGGTTAATTCTACTTATTCATAGCCCTCGCCTCAGAGTATACTCCTCAGCAAGTGCTTTGGCCTCCATTTTTCATTTCCCAATCTGTGAACTACAAAGATGGAAAAACACAACATTCCCATTTAATGATGTGCTGCAAAATGTAATGAATGATAAGTAGCAAAATGTTTTAGATCGCTAATAAAGGAGCACAGAGCTGCAATGTAGCATTCATCTTTCTCTGCTAGCACATTGCTGTCTATCAGCATACTGCTCTATTCATTAAGCTATGAAGTTTACCGAATGTTTATAAAGTATCTTGATTGCACTGGGAGGGTAGAATATACTTTGTTTTATTAAAAAACAACAAGTCATACACAAGATGTAGCCCATTTAAGGAAGGCAGCATAATTTAGTAGAAAGAAAAGAAATCTGGGAATGAGAAGACATAGCTAAATCCCAGTCTTGGCTCTATCACTTACTTGCTCTCTAAGCCTAAATGTCTTCATCAGTTAACTGGAGGTACTATTTATGTTACCTATCTTATGGAAGGCTATTTAAGATACTGTATACAAAATTACCTATAGTTATAAAAGATACTGTAGTAACTACAATAGACACTAAAATCATAATGGAAAATAATTAACAATGTTGTTTTTAATAGTTTTTGTTTTATGGGAAGTTTGGTGGTGAGGTTATAAGATGTACAAGAATGATTTAACTGACTACATAAGCTGGACAGGTTTCATGAAGATGACTTTTGGATGTGGGAAGAAATGAACACTGAAGCTATTCAAGGTTAAGGATACAACATTGAAAAAGCAAAAAAAAACCCAAAAACAAAAACCCAACATAGAGCTAAAGCTAAAAAGGGAGCTAAGAAGAGAACCGCTAGATTATACCATGAGAGTCAAGAGATAAGTTCTTTAATATGAACTCATTTCAGTAAACATTAAAAGCCTACCAACAGCCAGCAAGGTACCTTGCTAGGTGATAGGGTTGCAAAACAAATAATGTCACTGCCCTAACAGCGTACTGGGAGCTTGGGATACAACACATACACGAAAGTCAATATAAGATAAAACATGTTCCATAAGTCTAAGGATAGTTTTAACCTTAAACTGCCCTAAGACTCTTGTACAGTAAATGCAAAAAAATTTTCAAGAGGGAGAAATTACTAACAACTAGAAAAATGAAAAAAGACCTTGTGTAGAAGTTATTGTCTGAAGGAAGCTAGGGAGTCTTATAAGGTGGAGGTAGGGGAAAGAGTGCATTCCAGATATACAATGGAAGCAGATTTGTAATTTGTAAATTCATTCTTTCTCCTAAACACAAAAAACATGACTCTCAGGTGCCATGCTTCTCCACTAGCAGAAAAATCCACAGTCATTTCTTTTCCTACTTTGTTTCTTAAAAGACAAGAATACTAGTGTAAAGTACACTTGACAAAACTTCTTCGGTATTGTATTTGGTATTTGTCATTATTAGGCTTAAGACCCAGTTATTTTGGATCCATATTGAATATAAATACTACATCATTTAAAATACAACGAGATATTGTACAAAGCAATAGACCTCAAAGGTGATAGGCAGGGTGGTACAAGAGAAGGAGCACTAACCTTGGAGTCATGGGGCCTGATTTCTACTACCTGGTGACCTTGATCAAATCACAAACTCCCTGGGCCTTATCCATAAATCTACGATGAGTTTCCTCATCTATAAAACAAGATTGGTCTTCTAGGTTCCCTTCGAGCTCTAGCTCAATGATCCTAAGAATAAAACATGGCTTCTTACCCTTAAGAGTGATAGTCTAACAAATATAATACAAGTTCTACAGTGGAAAGTGAATGAGAGGTATAAATTCTAATGTGGTTCTTAGGTACCTGGGATCTCTTCTGAGTGGAGGGATTAAAAAAAAATCTTCATGGATGAAATGGAATTTGAGCTGACCCATAAAGGATAGATAAAATTTCAACTGACAGAAATGTGGAAATGGCATTCATTCTAAACAGTGGCCATAGCTTTAGCAAAGGTATGAATCAAGAGCAGGGCATTTACTGGGAACAATGACCTGGACCAGTATGTCTGAAGCCAAATTTACTGATAATTACAAAAGTAAATCACTATTGATAACTCACTACTCTCAAAGGGAGAACTGACCCTCCATTAGAAGATTAAGGGAAAAAAGGATACAAATGGAAGTCAACCAATAAATTTGAGTATAATTGATTATGAAAGCTGAATTTAGTTGTTGGGAAAGACTTCTACATTAAAGTGTGGGGTTGAGGTCATTTTTAGACTTACCTCTCTTGTTAGGACAGCAAGGAAACAACCATTGGTAATTTCAGATGGTTCTACTTTGAAAAATTTATCAATAGATGAACGAATTTCTTTTACAGAACACAGTGGAAGTACAGGAGGACTTAGCCTGCAGTAGATATTAACAAAAATAGTCCATAGTCAGAACTTGGAATGTGAGGAAAAAATTAATATGCTGCCAATACTAGTAATAAGCCATTGTATTTTAAGGTTTACAAAGCACTTTCTTCACATGTGTCCTGAAAGGGAGGTAGTATCAGTATATTTATCCCTGCTTTGCAGATGAGGAAAACAAGGCTCAGAGAGCCTGGTCTGGGGTCACAAAGTAAAGATCAGAGCTAGAATCTGAATCCAGTTCTTCTGCCCCAAGTTGAACACTTTTTCAACTGTATCATTCTACCCTCTCAACTAAATTTCAATGTAAAATAAAAATAATTTCATTATGCTTTACTAATCAAGCAAAAAGTCTAGTCTAAAAATTCTTACATGATTAAAAAAAGGCTTTGTAAATGTATATCACACTTTACAACATTTTTGTAGCTGTTTATCTCTAAATATAAAAATTACCTTTTTTTGCAAAATAATTACCAGAGGCAAAAATAAAGAGCTAACTTATATGAGTATAACTCAAGAGTTCCTGCCTTTCTTCCTAGTCTCATTTTCAAAGCACATGATCCCAAAGTTAAATATAGTTATAAACACAACTGTTCCACAATACTGATCATTTAAATAAGAAAGTGATCCTCTCAACTGATATTTGAGTATTCACCATGTGCTGAATACTTTTCTGTGAGAGATTTTACACAAAAAATGCAAATACTGAAGTTTTAATTAATGATAGGAAGCATGGTCTAGTGACTAGGGATCTGACCTTAGAGTCAAGACAAATAGGGTTCATTCAGATCCCACCTCTGACACCCACTGGCTGTCAGCCTGGGCAGTCACTTAATTTTTCAGTGCTCCAGGCAGCTCTCTAAAATTGTACTGCATAATATTTGCATATCTGCCTTGACAAATAGAGTTTCCTTCCCAGGAGTTTTGTATATTGCTGAAATCACAAGACTTTTGTTGTTGTTATTTTTAAAGAGTAATACTTTTAGGGGGCTGGTAAGTGGCACAGTGGGTAGAGCATCGGCCCTGGGGTCAGGAGGATGTGAATTCAAATGCGACCTCAGATACGTAACACTTACTAGCTGTGTGACTCTGGGCAAGTCACTTAACCCCAATTGCCTCACCAAAAAAAAGATAATACTTTTAAATGAAAGCTCCTGTTTTTCATATTTATGATCTTCTTTAATATAAAAATGGATCATTTGTAAACAATAATTACTTTAGCACCTGCCTTTAGAATTTGAATATTTAATAGGTAAAAGCAAATAATCTTTTGGCTGAATAAAAATTTTGGCGCTAATACTTTTGTATGTTAACTTCTGAAAATCAAAGCAAATTCCAAACTTATGTTGGTGCTCTTCATTTTAATTTCCATCTGTAGTCTCATCTTCTTCCATAAAGTTTCCAACATCTACAGCCCATGTTGACCTCCTTCTCCTATGCTCTCTAGTTTTATCCCCTATTAGTTGCGTCACACTTCATAATCATACACCGTGCTGATAAAATTGTATAATGGGAAGAGCACTGTACTTTGGTGGGGGGGGGGGGGGGGTGGAAGGGGAGGCAGTAATCAGTCCCTGCCATTTCTAGTCCCAGCCCTGCCATTAACTAGCTGGGTTAAGGCAGCGAACAAAGCTAACCTTGCATAAATCATTTAACCTCTCATCTTTAAGGGGGTTGGAGTATATCATCTCTGAGGTTTGTTGTAGCTCTGAAATTCTATGTTCATTGTTTCATATTGGTATTTTTTACATCCCCTGTGAAACTACATGCTCATTCATCGAGAGCAGAGAGGAACCATCTTATACTATATTTTTATCAAAGTATCTAGGATACTGCTATTCGTATAGTGCTCATACTTAATAGAATTAAATTATATTTAACCCACAAGTCAAGAAATAAAGATGTTTTAATACAGTAAGAATTTAGCCTACCCACTGATTAAGACATCAAATTCCTCTTTATCTTGGATTTCATCCTTTTATACTCACCTCCTCCAATTAATTAAAATCTGGCTTTCCCCTCAGATTTCCCCTCACTTTACCTCCCTACTCAATTTTGACTATTATCAATCACTTAAATCTGCCTCTTCCATTCCTATTTCTAAAACTGCCTAATACTAATGAAGGAATTTATCAAATTGTGCTGAATATGCTACAAAGTTATGTTATCTAACTTCAACTGTCTTCACAGCAATCTTTTTATTCATCCCTCAATGATATTACCACATAAGGTTGGTTCTAAAACTTTTTCTCCCTCAAGTCCCCCCAACTCCAAGTTCACTCACTCTCAGCAGATGACCTTGCCTCCCACATTACTGATAAGATTGAGGTCATCCAACTTGAATTTCCTCAGAGACGCTAGCATACTCCTCTAACCCGATGAATGTCCTCACTCATAAATGCTTGCCTTCAGTTCTCAGAGGAGGTGGCCTTTCTCTTTACCAATTCCATCCCTATACTAGTATGCTCTTGATCCCATCTCTTCTCTGACCTTGCTCCATTACTTATTCCCTCTTTTTCTTGTAATTCCTTACTTTCTCCCTCACTATCTGCTACTTCTATTGGCCTATAAACATGTTCAGTTGTCTCTTATCCTAAAAAAAAAAAAAAAAAAAAAAAAAAAGCCCTACCCTTGATCATGCTATACTCCACAAGCTATTGTCTGATCTCATCCCCCTTGTTGCTAAAATTCCATACTTGCTGCCTCCACTTTCTCTCCAACATTAATGCTTTATATAATCTAGCTTCCAACTCTCATTGTTTTACTGAAGGGTCTCTCTCAAGGCTACTAATGAATTTCTTATCACCAAATGAGATATTTTTTCTGTTCTCATCCTTGACTTCTCTCTGGCTTTTAACATTGAACCATCCCACACTTCTTGATATCCTCTCCTCGAGCCATTTCTGTGAAGGAAGCGGTCTCCTGCACTATCCTACTACAATTTTGATAGGTCTTTCCTTTCTTCTTCCTCCTTTCCCCCATCAAATGTGTATCACCTGTAAAGCTTAGCTCTCTTCTCTTTCCTGATGATCTCATCTACTTCCCATTGTTTCCTAACCTCTTCCCAGAGCTCAAGTTCTGTATTTCAACTCGCTGATGGTTATCACTATTTGTATAACAAATGACATCTCAAACTCAACATATACAAAATTTAAACCACCATCTTCCTCCCAAAACCTTTCTTCTCTCAATTTCTTTCTGTTGATGGTACCACCATCCTTTTCATATCTCTGGCTTATAATTTTTGACTCTTCCCTTTCCTTCATCCCTCTCATCCAGTTCCTAAGTCTTTTCTATTTTACTTCCATACTGTTTCTGTATCCATCCTAGCCTTTCCATTTTTCCATTTCATTAAGTGCAGATGCTAATTTCTTGTCACTTCTAGTCTGTCCCCTCTCTGAGCCAACTTTCACATACATATTCTTAAATAAGCTTTATAACTTACCAACAGAATTATGGTATTCTTCTGCTCAAAAGCCCCTAGTCATTCCTCATTGCCTACCAAATAAATTATAAACATATGATGCTATCATTAAAGGGATGCCTCAGTCTGGCTCCAATCTACATTTATATTTTCACTTCTACATTCTATTCTACATCCTGGCCAAACTGAACTACTCTGTTCCTCATTCTCATACTATCCTTTTCCACATCTATGATTTCCTTGGAATGGATTCCCATTCCCCACCTCCACCCCATCTATTCCTGTTGAAGTCTTTCCCTTTCCTTGAGGCTCAGCTCAGATGCCACCATATCCATGAAGCTCCAACTCCTCACCCCCAGAAAAAAAGTGTTGTCTCCTTCAAATTTCTTCCATCTTTTGCCTAAAGATCTTTGCCTCTCTGTGGTAATAGTTATTTGTGTGCATGTCTTTCCCAACTCCCCTCCCTGCCCCTCTCAGCCCCATTAGATTATAAATTCCTTAAAAGTAAGGCCTGTGTCATATCTTTTTAATCCCATTCCCTGTATGGTGTCTTACACATAGAAGACGCTTGGCAAAAGCTTACTGAATTAAGTTAGACTGGATCTAGTCCAATCTCTCACCCTGAGAAGAAATCCTCTCTACAAGAATCCTGTCTACAATCCTTAACAAAGTGGTTAAATTAACTTTAGTATCCTTCAAAAGAAGTCATATCTTTCAGGAAGAAGCTTTTGTAATTTGTGCTGATACAAAACAACAATGGTTTATACACATTAACTAGTTCTTCAAGAAAAGGAAATAGAGATTAAGTTGGTATGACATTCCCACTGTAATGCTACCAACCTACTCTGCTGCCTTTCAGAAAGTCTTCTGTTGAAATGAGATGACCTCCTTTTTGTTGGATAGAGACAGTTGTATAAAGTGGCAGACCTGGAGTCAGGAAGACCTGAATTCCTTTCTGGCCATAGACACTTACTAGCTGTATAATATTGGGCAAATCACTTAACTTTTGCCTCAGTTTTCTCAGCTATAAAATGAGGACAATAATAGCACCTACTTCATATAGTTGTCATGAGGATCAAATGAGATAATATTTGTAAAAACCACTTAGTATAGGGCCTGGCACATAGTAGGCACTATATAAATGTATATTTCTTTCACACTGAATAGCACCCTCATTATGGTCCTTTGGTGCTCATGTGGATCTCTCTAGGTTGCAAAAACTGTTGTACATATATAGGATTCAAAAGAACAGGACAGAATTCTGCCTTCTAATCAGTCAGTTGAAAGTGTTAAACTTAGTCAATAAATGTTGGTTGGCTCAATTATTTTACTATCTAAACGTTAATAATGAAAAGATTGTGCTATATATTTTATATATTAAGGGGAAAGTATAATAAGTTTATTATTTTATTAGTTTAACATTTTTTGCAGCATACATCATTATAATTACAATTATAGTAGTCTACATCTAAGCATGTCAAATAACATTACAGCATATATCAACCAATACAATAAAAATCTCTGTGACAAAAATGTTTTAAATTCCAAGTTTATGATATTTTGAACAATAC